CTATGGTGGCCATTTGTTTAGTCAAATGTTAGTCTAGATGTTGCTGTAAAGGTATTTTGTAGATGTGATTAACATCAAACACCAGCTGACTTTACGTAAAGGAGATTACTACCCTTGACGAGGTGCATAGGCCTCATCCAATCAAAGGCCTTAAAAGCAAAACTCTACCCAGAGTAGAATTCTACCTCGAGGCTGCAACAGAGAAATCCTGTGTGAGTTTCCAGACTGTTGGCCTGCCTTGTGGACTTCGGACTCGCCAGCTCCATGACTGTGTAAGCTAATTCTGTAAAATCTCTCTGTTTCTCTATCTCCTCTTAGTTCTGTTTCCTTGGAGAACCTTATTGATACAGTTTGTAAGTGCCATTTTTAGAAACAAAGAATTGTATTTGTTTCTATCATGGTGAGTACCTCGTTTTTGGAAGGTGATAGGTAATGCATGAAAAACTGAGGATTATTTACATATAATAGACAAGTAAAATCAGCTATTGTTGACAGTAGATGGAAATTCAAAGTCCTCTTTAATGATGAGAAGCACTTAGGAAGTGTAAATTTTGGCAATATCTTCTCAAAAGATCTCTGCTTCCCATAAAATGGAACAAGTGCAGGCGTAACTATGCATATAAAGTCTAAAACTAAAACTTGTATTAGAATGATGGTATATTTGGGTCAGAGATCCCTAATATAAAAGAAACCAATGAAAGTTGTTCAGAGCTTGCTGGAAAATATATTCGGGGGAACCATGAAAACACTACTTCAACCCATCATGTAATTATCGAATACTTAGTGACAAAAAACACTCCATTCTACTTGGTCAGGCATAAAAATGCTTGATCAAAACGGGCTTGTTTGTAGTGGTTAATGAACAATTTGTAAACGTAATTTCTCAAGAACGGAGCAGAATTTTCCAAGATTAATTTTATAGAGCAATAATTCTGGGTGATATCCAAAGAAAAAGGGGTCAGTGGTTAAATTTAGGGAATACTAAATTGTACATGGTCAATTGTGACTCTTCAAGGGAGACACATTATATTGTTTCCAGAACTAATTTCATCAGGGAACACATTCTTCCAGTATGCCCATTAATCTTGTATGGCATACTGGACTTGAAGGCTAAGCCTCTGCTTTGCTCTTCACTGTTAACCGTGGGCCACTCATTTTTGGAGTTTCATTCTCTTCTTATTTTTATCAATGATGTTTACATCCCAGAGTTGGTTTTGAAGCTTCAGCAAGGTACTTTTGGAAGTAAAAAAAGAACTTAATATGTAGTGCATAGTTTGTTGCCTTTTTTTTTTTTTTCCCCATGGTATCTGAAGAACTTTCCTATTTGAGGTTAATTTCCCATTTTGGAATCTTTGTGGGAGGTAAGACTGGAACCTTCTACAGAAGCTGCAAGGGGACAGGCATTTTATTTCCCAGTTACTGGCAGCTAAAGTCTTGAGTATTTGTCCATGGTTTAGTTAATGAAATTCTTTCTGCTGAGAAGACTTAGAATCTTGAGGCATGACGAGGGATGATTTTGGTTAATGGGACTCCACTTATATTTGCTCTAAAATATGCTTCATCTCTACCATATAACTCTACATCTACCATGAGATAAATGTAAATTCCTTCAGGCAATTAGTTATAGAAGGTTTCCTTGGCTTGTATTGGTTTCAGCAAGGTGCTTATTCTAAAAGTATGATTGTTTTTTCAAAATAAAACCTATCAACTTGGAACATTGATTTTTTTTTTTCCCCTGAGCAAAGAAAGCACATAGAAATAATATCCTATGCACTGTATATGTGGTAAATTGAATTAAGCTGAAATCAGGTGTTTAGAATTTTGACCCAATAAATTGCTCTGAGGAGTCGTCTTTAGCAAAGATAAAAATGTTCAGACCACAGATTTTTTATGCAAGGCAGATGTTACTTACTTAATGCCACACAGCCTGCAGCTGGGAGTACAAAGGTGTTCTCAGGAAGGTGGTGGTGGTGGTTCTTTAAGAAGTGAGCTATCCCAGGCTATTTATGATAGAAGTCTGGCTAACTTTTCCTTAATGGTACCTATTAAGCCTGAGAAGCAATCAAGAAATGGACCTTAGGGTGTTGGGAATTTGAAAGTGGATACTTAATGTTGTGAATCTTCTAGAAAGACACAGCAGAGAGCTAGAAAAAAGCAGGGGTTCGTGAGGTTGGGGCTGCCTATCGCAGCATCTTTGTGAAAATCACAGGGACAGAGCTGAAGATCAGCGTTGTAACATTATCCTCAGTAAAATTTATGGTCTGCATTATATTTATTTTTATAGCAAATTATCAAAGTTATTGTATAAAGAAAATGTAGCTGATAAAAAGCAGGGAGTATCCTCCTGGTCTCCCCAGGAGCTCTGGTTTTGCTTAGGTTAGGCCGTCAGATATTCCCAGGTGGTTCCAACACCAGATCTATGAGAATAATGAAAATAAATGTTAGAAAAAGAGCTAATGGGCAACAATCATAATACTGCTCAGCAGATGTTTATAAGGTCTGGTTATTTTTTTGTTTAAAGAGAGACCTGTCTAACATGACACATTATCCACTATGACCTACCTGATGGGTCCAGAATAAAAATTAAGAAATTCCCAAGACCTGTATAGGAGGCCATCACTGTTATGTCAAGGTACATCATCGCTTTTCTTTCTTTCTTTGAATTAATGTTGTGTGTAACTATGTGCTCAGAGAATGAATGGTTATGGCCAAAACAAAAAAATGCAGCAACCAATAGCACATGAGCCTCCCTGGTCATGGGACTGAGATAATAGGGTTTTTTTTAGTGAAACAGTGTGAGTTTTTGTCCAATCCCCCTCTACTTTGTAATGAGGCAAATATGATCCCCCCCCCCCCACGTTGGTTACCAAACCCACCAAGACATGACAGCAAAGTTATACCATAGTTCTGTTTGCACAGTGCAAGAAATTCCATCTTTCGTTGTCCTGAGTTTATGCCTTTGAGACGGGAGACCTGTTTGTGCTTTCCTCACTGGTTTCTCTCCTGGTGTAAGCACCTGGTTGTGCTGAGTGTGATTCTGGTAGTGTTTTCTATCCAACTTGAATCTGCAATGGGAGCCTATTCCTTTATCTGTTGGCAACCCGGGGAACACGCTTTCCAAAGCTGAAGGAAAAAGCTAACTGGCCTCGTGGGATTTATCAGGAGACCATAATTCTCTCTCTAGTGAGGTATGCCACAATCAGTTTTGGGGCTGGAAGAAAGAAAGTGATCAAGGGGACCAATAACGGCCAAGAGGACAACTTTGGTTTATCATATACTTTTAGTTAAGAATGAAATTGCATCACACTGTTGGCTGGAAGCCCTGAATTGGAGGTGTACTTAAGGATGAGAACCCTTTGAGACCAAGGCTTCAGCTCCTCCATCTGCCGAAATACAGGCTTTTGTTGTGATAGAATGCAGAGCCAGCCACGGTTGGTTTAATGGTTTTAGGAACTGCTTCACACTCAACAGTACGTGCCCCTTCTGCCATGGGAGAGCTGACATGTTCTAGGAAGAGGAAACTCCGAAGAAAAGGGATCTATTCTAGAGCAATTTAAAACATGAAAAGACTGATGGATCTGGAGGAAACTCGTTTGAGTTTAGATTCACGTTATACGTAGTAGAAACAACAGCAGCAACGTTGCTGGTAGGACTGCCATTTCCTAGGCGTTTCTACACATCCCCTCCCTTTCATCATTACAACAAGGCGGAGAGATACTGTAATATCTTTTCACAGAAAAGGAAACAGCTTTAGGGAGTATAATAACTTGCTCACAAAGATAGATAGTTGGAGTGGGGGTTCTAATGTAGAGTGGGTAATTTCAAAAGTTTCCATGACCACCCCCATTGTCCTGCCTCTCAGGATGTTAATTTTCTTTTTTACCATTTTATATTCAAAGAGTTTATATTGAAAGCCTGGATATGATGGAATGATTCAATTTCCTTAGTCAATGATCTTTGCTTCCATATCATTTTGAAGAATGTTGTCAATAAATCAAAATAACAGTCTTAGAGCATTAAAAACCTCTGTTCAATGAAGGTCTGAGATAAACCTAAATGATTTTCATCATTTTTTATCTCAAAAGTATTATCTTTAAAATGAATACAATTAAATCTGGAGAGAATAATTTTGTAATGTGCAGAGTTGAGGTCACCTTCGGTTTAAGGTATGGGGTTCTACTTTATGCTCTTAACATCCTCCTGCATTTTTTAATGGGTGAAAGTAATATCTAAAATAAGCAAGTGATAATACTTCAAACATGTTGCTTTAATTTGAAAAATGCCTCTTTCCTCCTAAGAACCCTGTTGTCTTTAAGACTTTATGGACTCTGTCTTTAAACTGAGTCTTTAAACTTTGAATGCCTCAAAATTCCTGAAGTGATCTCCATGTTGTCATTATCTTAGATGTGAAGTTGTAATGGATATAGTACCAAGCTGGGGACCTGGATTCTAGGCCTAAATAGGTCAGAAGTTGGTTGTGTATATACATATAAGTGCCTTAACCTTTCCATATGCTTAATGTTTTCACTGTAAAATGAGTTTGAATAGATGATAGTTAGAAAGGAGACTATTCAAATTGTTCTCAGATTTTTAAAATACAAATTTGGGTTCTTTGCTGCCTTTATACTTACCTAAGACCACACACATGCATCAGGACTATAGGATATTTTTCATTTCAACATCAATCTGAAATGAAAAAATGTTATCTAACTCATAAAGTATTTCGAAGACTGTTGCAGAAGGTATACACAAATTTGAACCTTGCTTAGGGAAAAAGATTCTTGTCAAAAAGTAGCTTTATATCAAACTTTTTATTAGCCATCATTCACATTTATTTAGTTTTATACTGTCCCTGCCCTTAGAATTTACAGTGTTCCGGGAAAAATAGACAAGAAAGAAATGACAATAGTTAATGCCAATTACTGGGTGTGCCCAGAATACTAAGGGCTAACAGAAGAGCTTGAGTCCAGGGAAGGATTCCCAAAGGTGGTAGGTGAGTCCTAAATTGAATCCTGAGACTTGATGAAAGATTTATCCAGGTTTGAGTGAGCATTAGGCAATCTGGGATGAGTCATTATGTGCAAAATCCTTGAGGTCAGAGCAAGCTGAATGTACTTGAAAAACTGCAAGTAGTTCAGGAGAACCAAAGCAGGAGGAACAAGTGGTAATGGTAGATCCAACTGGAAAGGAAGTCAAGGGTCCAAACTCTCTATTACAAAACTTGAGATGCAATGGAGATAGAGGAATGTACTATTTTGTGTTTTACAAAGGTTATTTTGACTTCTGTATAGAGATGAGGGTGGATGTGAGGTGTGGAAGGTGGGGGGACTGGAGATGGGAGACCAACTGGGACATAATAATGCAGGCAAAAGTTTGCCTAAACTTAAGTACCAATAATGTAGAAATAAGTGGGGAGATAGAGATACTGAGGTGTTAGAATTGATAGGATTTATTATTGCTTGTGCCTCAATTTGTAGTAGTAGATGGGTATTTTAAAGGAAAACTGTCAAGCAAATATAGGGCAAGGAGATTTAATAAATTATATCCCAAATATTACAGGGTGACCGGACAAATACACCAAGCACTGAGAATCAAAGTGAATGCTGTTCTAACATGAAGTCCCAGAGGCCAGCTCATTAACCTAGCTGTGAGATTAGCGTAGAAAGACCATCTAAAGGGCTAATGCAAACCACAGAGGGTCTCCTCTCCCAGTGCTCCAAACAATCACATGTGTGCAAGTGCCTCCACTCCATTTGTCCCCCTCTTCTCTAGAAGGTTTCTGAAAGATTGGCTATTCGGCAGCAACACTGCTCTACATTTGCTGGGTATAAAGCAAGAACATCTTTGTAAGCCTGACTTTTCATCATTGTAATTGAAAATACAGTGTTTTTAAATGGCCATATGTTATAATAAAAATTCTGAAAAGCAACTCAAAAAAAAAAAAAAACAAAAAAACAACAATGGACTTGAAGGAAGCATGTGTTGTGTGCAATTGTTCAGTTTGTCTTGTATGATGTCAAAAAGGAAAGTGTATATGGTTAAACAGATAACAAAAAGAGTAGGGAAGGGTTACAAAACTGCTGCTTTTCGACAGAATGTAAAAAAAAAAATCCTTCGTCCTTTTAATAATTGAGCGAGACTCAGCAAAATCTGCTGGTAACAACTTCTAAGTGAGGTAGTTTTATTTTTCTGGGATGAGGCAACCTAATTCAGCTGTTGTAGGTTAGTAGTAACGAAGGGACTGCTCAGTTGTTTTATGCTAAGCGTTTTAATGCTGAAAATGACCAAAATATTCTAGCAATCCAACTCCTCCAATTTTTATGTTTAGAATCTCACTTGGCTTGAATTTTCATGAAAGATGAACATGATCTATTTCTCAGCAGAATTTAAAGAATAGGCTTTTATTCTTCGTCTGGAGTTCTAACTTTAAAATTGCTACAAACAAGATTGGCTAATAGGTTTGGCTTTACGGTGTGAATGTAGAAATTAGAAATCAGAATCTCCCACGATATTAAGCAGAACAACAAACAAGGTGATGTAGCTCAGTTTGGCAAACTAATTAGGACTTTGTTAGGTGCTATACAGTCAAAAACAAATAAAACTTCACTAAAATGTTAGCACTCAGAGACCAAACTTGCCTAACTTTTAAGTTTTTAAATTCTAGCTAATATGCAGTGTGATATTAGTTTCAGGTGTACAGTATAGTGATTCAGCACTCCCATACATCACCCAGTGCTCATCACATAGTGCTCCTTAATCCCCATCATCTGTTTAACCCATCCCCCCACCCACCTCCTCTCTGGTGACCATCAGTTTATTCTCCATAGTTAGAGGCAAACCAAGAAACACTCTTTTTCTTTCCCCCCCACTTTGCTCCGTTGTTTCATTTCTTAAATTCAACATAGCAGTGAAATCATATAGTACTTGTCCTTCTCTGACTTATTTCACTTAGAATAATACTCTCTAGCTCCAACATGTTGTTGCAAACAGCAAGATTTCATTCTTTTTTATGGCTCAGTAATATTCCATTGTGTATATATACCACCTCTTTATCCATTCATCTGTCGATGGATACTTGGACTGTTTTCATAATACGGCTATTGTAGATAATGCTGCTATAAACATAGGGATGCATGTGCCCCATCAAATCAATATTTTTATATTCTTTGGGTAAATACCTAGTAGTGCGATTGCTGGGTCATAGAATAGTTCTATTTTTAACCTTTTGAGGAAACCATACTCTTTTCCAGAGTGGCTGGACCAGCTTGCATTCCCACCAACAGTGCAAGAGGGTTCCCCTTTCTTCACATCCTTGCCAACACATGTTTCTTGTGTTGTTGATTTTAGCCATTTTGACAGTTGTGAGGTGGTATCTCCTTGTAGTTTTGATTTGTATTTCCCTGGTATCCAGTGATTTTTTTTTTAAGCATATTTTCATATGTCTGTTGGCTATCCATATGGCTTCTTGGGCAGAAGACATGAATAGACATTTTTTTTTCAATTTTTTGATTGGATTATTCACTTTTTGGGTGGTGTCTTATAAGTTCTCTATATATTGGATACTAACCCTTTTTTTTTTTTTAAAGATTTTATTTGAGACAGACAGAATGAGAGAGAGAGAGCACATGAGAGGGGGGAGGGTCAGAGGGAGAAGCAGGCTCCTTGCCGAGCAGGGAGCCTGATGTGGGACTCGATCCGGGGACTCCAGGATCACGACCTGAGCCGAAGGCAGTCGCTTAACCTACTGAGCCACCCAGGTGCCCTGGATACTAACCCTTTATCAGATGTATCACTTAAGACTTGGCTAACTTTTAAAAAGCCATTTTAGGTATAAAAGCTGCTATTGAGAAGAGAGACATTTTCTAGCTGATAAAGAAAACCAGACCAGTCAGTGGAAATCATGAGGGTAATACTGTGGCTTAACTTGTAGAAGAAAGCTCTCATAAATGAGGCCACCTGGCAGTGAAATATGCTGCCTCTAGGAGAAAATAAATTGATTATAGACATTTTACGTGTGGGCTGAATGACCTCTGGAAGGAATTAGTGGAGTGAAAAGTTCTACTAGATGATCTTTATAGTTTTTTCTGACATTTAAACTTTTGTAATTTCTACTAAGTTCTTAGATATTTTCAAATGTGCTCTAATAGAATACTAGAAATAGAAAAAATAATAGAATAAGATGAAACCAAGCTTTTGTCACTTTCATAGTTTAAATGAAGATCTTTCAAGAATTTACATGAATTTGTCCAGCTTATAGAAGAGGACTTCTAATTGACACTAAATTATTAGCCTAAATATTGACTTCCACTGTAGTTCTTTTCATGTAAAAACACAAAAATGACAAGTCAAGAATGGATCATAATTGCTTCTTCCCCAACACATGACAAAATAAACAATAGTAAAATCAGTCAAATCTCAACAGCCACTGACAGAGTAAGAAAGGGATATAATTTAATATCATGAGCTTCATAAAGAGGTGAGCAAAGGAAGAAGATATTTTGGTTTGGCATAGAGTTGTTCTTAACCCTGCCTCTGTATTCCAGAAGTGGAATGGGTCAGACAACACAGTTCTTGGAATGATCGCTAAAACCACCAAATTAGCAGTAAAGTGAATAAAATGTTGTCTTTTTGACTCTTCTAAATAATTGATATGACTGCAGGGGAGGAACAGGTCAAATAGAGAATGTGAATGGGCTTACTATATCTGAAAAAGGCCAACAGAACCTCTCCCCATGGAATAGGATAGATACTGACTTGGTGGAGGACATCCTAGCTTAAAACATTGAACAAAATCTGACTACGACCAGATCTACCTGCAGCAGACCTACGTGTTCTAAATTGGGCTCTCCTCCCCTCCTTTATACTTTCAGCTGACATAAAGGTAGGGCACTAAGTACCTGCCTCACACTGGCTTATAGGAGAAAGCCAGTAGGCTCAGAGGTAGTGAAAAGGATACACTAACAGACTACAGAAAAAAAGTCTGGCTGGAAATGCCTCTGTCATGCACAATGTAAAAAAAAAAAAAAAAAAAAATCTGGCATCTATGCAAATTACATTTAAGGGACACAAGGAAAGCTAGAGAGGAGGGGAATAAGGGAAAGGGAATGGAGGAGCAGGGGGATTAACATTATTAACATTTAAAGAAAAATGAACCCAAGCTAATTTCTTTAGCTTTTAAAGTTTGGAAGCAAATCGATAGCATCTAAAAAAATTTGGTAATGAGAAATGACTGCATCTTAACTTTTAGAACCTCTTACTCTAAAGAAACATCAGTGACCGTTAATTTTCAGTTGCATTTTTTTCTTAAAACAAAATTAAATTTTTATAATTGAGAGAAGGTGTGTGATCCAGGTTTCTAAAAGTATTTCTATCTACTGATACCTATATGCATGTACATATATGAAGTAAAATTCACAAAATATTTACCCTTACTGTGTGAGATGGACTCTTTCTACCGTATTTTTTTTTATTTTAAAAAGGTGTTAATGTTTCAACCTTCAGTTTGAAAAACACTGCAGTGTATTTTTTTTTTTTTTTAAGATTTTATTTGACACAGAGAGACACAGCGAGAGAGGGAACACAAGCAGGGGGAGTGGGAGAGGGAGAAGCAGGCTCCCTGCTGAGCAGGGAGCCCAATGCGGGGCTCAATCCCAGGACCCTGGGATCATGACCTGAGCCGAAGGCAGACACTTAATGACTGAGCCACCCAGGCACCCCTGCAGTGTGCTTTAACACAAGGGTTTATGAATATAGGCAACAAAGTTTTGCAACTGCCTCAATTTGCTTTTAAATTAGCATAACAAGGAAACAGTAATTGTTTTGTCTTTCTCATGAAAGTGTCAGGAAAAGTCTACCACATAATGGCATTTTAGTAACAAAGGAATGAGCAAGTTTGAGTAAAGAAATTCTTAAAATACTGTGCAGTGCTAAGTAGAGGGTTATATTTTCTTACCTCTGAATCACAGTAGAGAGGAGGTGAGTTTATGGAACAGCACTTGGAGGCAAAGTCTGAGCGCTTGTCAATCAGCCCTTGGAGTTCCATGGCACTGGCATCAGGCAATTGTGCTCTTAATTGCTCTGCTAGTCTGAAAGACCATATTTATGTAAAGTTTTACTAGATGTATTTTATAAACCTTTCTGATGCAAGATGATAACCCACTTCAGGTCTTTTACAATAGAAAAATGGAAATAGTTGCTCTTAAACTTCAGATCTGTGGAGTGATTTTTAGCGACTTAATTCAAGGTTAGAAAGTGAAATCTCCACATCTCTTTTAAGACCCTAAAAGTAAACTTAAAATTTGTTGCTGGATTTGAATTCTGGTCTTTCCCCTTTCATTTGCTCCATTATATTAACATGGATCCCTTCCTCTCCTATTCTTCCTGACTTTTCATCTCTCCAGTGCTAGATTTCAAGCTTCTTAAAGAGTATTTCCCTCATGGGACTTTATGCCACCTTAATACTTTTTCTCTTCTCTCATTTTACACAATTTCCTCCTCAGTGTGCCTACTTCTCAACTGGCTATGTTGGAGAAACACAAAAAAGGTCAGAAACTTTGGCTCTTGTTTTTAGCTCTACTATCCATTAACTTTCCATCTAGTTTTCAAGATGGCGCTAGGACTCGAGTCCTCTGGATTGTCTATAGAATCTTGGTATCTCTCTACTCTTATAATGGGCAATTCAGCCTGGTTTTAGGACCATCTCCAGGAACTACTTGCCAGCCTAGTTGTGGGCAATGGGAGGTGGTAGAAACCCAAATTTACCTAGTTGCCCTAAGGTGGATGCTGGGAAGAGACAAGAGGGTGAGGGGGGACTAGTTTACGCATAATAGCGTTACTGAAAAGAGTCGGTCCCAGTTGGAAGAGGAGGCAAGTCAGACCAAAAGGAACTCAGAGAATGGAGAAAGAAAAAGTGTGGGTATGTGTGTGTACACTTGTGCAGGATTTCAAATACCTCGATGCAGTTGTCTCAATTTTTGATTTCATAACCCAAAGGTCAATTCTACTACATTGCTATTTTTAATGTATTGAGATTATATAAATTGTCAGTTGCCCAAGGAAACACTGGGGTACAAAAATTGTATTATCTGTTTAATGTTATTCTATACTGTTTTCTGATAATTGGGGAAATAAGCATTTTGAACTTAAGGCTTTCACAATTTTTCATTTTCTTTTAGAGTTTTGCTAAAGTAGGCTTCAGGGGGGTCATTGAAGGAGGTGACCTACTTTTGGAATTCTTAGTTCTTTTTGTGGAGTTCTATTTGTGCTTGCTTTAGGCCTATGTTGATCAAGATGATCTGAAATGGATCTAAGAAATCTACTTAATGAAGTTGGGAATGCCATGGATCTTTAGGAACCCAGTAAAATTCATTTCACTAGTATGGCCTTTCTTCTCTTGGGAAACATGACTATTGACTCTTGTACGACATTACTGATGATTAATTATTTTCAATTTGTAAAGAATACATGCTGGTCATGGGTGGTATCACACTTGATTGAGAGTTTGGGTTGTCTTGTCAGACACAATATGCCACGAAGTTAGGTAACCTTTTTCCGCAGTTTTACAGTTCAATTACGTGTGGCGACATCTACATAAGTTTTAGGGCAAGAATGTTGATGAACTCTGGGCTAATTTGGTGTTTTTTTGAATCAAGTTCCTGCAGGTCTTGCAATTTATACTTCTGTGGCTGTGTTCTAATTGACCTCCCCTGATACACATGACTTTTTTCCCCTCTGAAAAGAACTCCATTTCTTCCTACATAGATACTAGATTCTACTTTTTAAAACTCTTGATTGCACCCCTTCTTTCTGTTGCTCACTTAGCACATCTTAATCTTCAACTATACTCTGAAATCACAATACCAAACTACTAATATTGATAAATGTAGACAAAACAGCCAGAAAAGTCCCTTACTTTTTCTTATACTCAGTAAAAGTGTTTTCTGAATAATCTGCACATAGTTTTTGTCCCTTGTCAATGAAAGAAGATAATTCCTTTTTCAGTTGAGGGCCCTGTAAGAAAACAATTACATACAAAATTATTTGTCTTGAAGCATTATTCTAGAAGAACATTAAATCAGAATTCTGTTTAATGTATTAGTATGTGGGTTTGTTATCTACACCAGACATTGGCAAACATTCTCTTCATAAGGCCAGATGGTAAATATTTTAGGTTTTGTAAGCTATATACAGTTTCTTTTGTAATTACTCAACTCTGCCAATATGGCACAAAAGCAACTCTAAACAATGTGCAAACAAGGAGTAAGGCTGGGCTGTAGCGAAACTTTATGAACACTGAATTTTGAGTTTCACATTTTTGTGTTGTAAAATTAAAAACCATTTAAAAATCGAAGACCAGTCTCTGCTCACAGGCACTGGGTCCGATTTGGCCCATGAGCTACAGTTTTCCAACCCTTGACTTCTACCGAGGTTGGCAAAGAAAACATAGCGAGGGGTACCTGCGCATTCATACAGCCCGTAGCATCTTCAGAGTCACAGCATTTGGCAAGGCTTTTGAAGGTTGGCTCAAGTATTTTACTGAGGAATACTTCTGGAAGATGAGTTCTCCTACTTAATTCAAATGTATACCTGGCATGAGAGGGAAAGGAGCGAGTACTTTTTAACATGAGTAGACTTGTGTATGTGTGTCCTGTTTGAAATTGGATCTCTGTTAATAAAGGCTGATCACCTGGCTTCTGCATCTTAATTAGAAATAAAAGGTTTAGGTAAAACTGACTCCAAATCAACAGGTTTGGGATTAATAGTCTCATCGAAATGCAAATTATTAGTAGTTGCTTTGGAGTTTTCTGACTAGTTAATAATTAAAGCTTTATGTGTACTATATATACACATGTATATATTATATATAAACATCTATTTCAAATGCATATGGAGCTAGCTTTTGTGTAACTATAATATAATGAACACTACATAAAGCATCAGGTATGTACCAGGAATGGCTTTTCTGTGGAAGATTTGTGTCAGTCCTTCTATTGTCTTATTCCATTGCTCTCTATGCATTTATGAAAATATTTAGACAAATATACATTAGGCTAAAGTTTAAATTCTGATCTCTAATATTGGTCATTTTCCGACTTGTTAATCCAACCTGTCTGTGAAATATTTCTGTGCCATGGATATACACATACCCGTAGCTTATGCAGCTCATGGTCTATGCAACATATGGCCTATTTTAGTTCTTCATTGGATGAAAACAGATAGATGGGAAGAAATGGCAAACCTTTAATTTCTTTGTCACTTAGTGCTAGTGAATATCAATACCGTCATGAAAAAAATTACTCCGATCAACTCTACTTACTGATCTATGGCTTTGGCATTCCCTTTGTCACACACGTCTGTATTTGTGGGCCACTCGATGGCTGGCAGCTCAGGTGTTGGGGCAGCTGGCAGGAAGTAAGCGCACACAAACACGTCCATGGGGGTTTTTTCTTGACAACAGTCCTTAAACTTAGAATTCTTTGTGGATAAGTTGTCACAGATTTTTACTGTGTATTCAGGCAGCTATAAAAGCAATTGTGAGTTTGTGCATTGTTAGTTTCCTGGTTTGCCTCATTAAAAATAAGGCTTAGCCAAAGATACAAATGTAGTGATCCGAAGGGGTACGTGCACCCCAATGTTTATAGCAGCAATGTCCACAACAGCCAAACTATGGAAAGAGCCAAGATGTCCATCAACAGATGAATGGATAAAGAAGATGTGTATATATATACGATGGAATATTATGCAGCCATCAAAAGGAATGAAATCTTGCCATTTGCAACAACGTGGATGGAACTAGAGGGTATTATGCTAAGCGAAATAAGTCAATCAGAGAAATACAAGTATCATATGATCTCACTGATATGAGGAATTCTTAATCGCAGGAAACAAACTGAGGGTTGCTGGAGTGGGGGGTGGGAGGGATGGGGTGGCTGGGTGACAGACATTGGGGAGGGTATGTGCTATGGTGAGTGCTGTTAATTGTGTAAGACTGATGAATCACAGACCTGTACCCCCAAAACAAGTAATACATTATATGTTAAAGAAAAAAAAATAGTAGGAAGGGAAAAATGAAGGGGGGGAAATTGGAGGGGGAGATGAACTATGAGAGACTGTGGACTCTGAGAAACAAACTGAGGGTTCTAGAGGGGAGGGGGGTGGGGGGGGTGGGTGAGCCTGGTGATGGGTATTAAAGAGTGCACGTACTGAATGGAGCACTGGGTGTTATACACAAACAATGAATCATGGAAACATCAAAAACTAATGATGTAACGTATGGTGATTAACATAACATAATAAAATAAAATTAAGCCTACCTAAGCCTTATTTTTTCTTACAAGCCTTGGCCTGGTATGTATGAAAGGTTCTAACTCAGGTTATAGAAAAACACCTATTAACACAGACCTGTTTTCTTAGAGGAAAAAGACCACGCAATACAATATACCTATTTCTAAAGAGGTCCAAAGACTTAGAGTAACTTTTATCTAAAGCAACTGTTCAAATTCATATCTGCTTGAAAGGATTATGTAAATGAAAAATGGGAAAAAAAATCGACCAATTTATAACAGGTATAAACATGAGCAGTTCCCAATCTAATGGTTGCAATATTGTTCAATAGAACTTTGTGATGAAATGATCTCTATCTATACTGTCCAATGCTAGTGAGCATTTGAAGTGTAGCTAGTGGGGCGCCTGGCTGGCTCAGTTGGTAGAGCGTGTGGCTCTTGACCTCAGGGTTGAGAGTTCCAGCCCCATGTTGGGTGTAGAGATTACCTAAATTTTAAAAAATTAAAAAAAAAATATGACTAGTGTTTCCAAGGAATTGAGTTTAAATATTAAGTTTTAGGAATTAAGTTAAAGAACTTGTTTAATTATAATTAAACTGCATTGGGCTGTGCAGGTAGAATAAGATCTCCGGAGTTAGATGATCTTGTCCTTGTGTGTGGACTTGGCCACTTCCTAGTTGTAAGACTTCAAATTATTCATCCTGGTTAATCTTGTTTCCTTATCTATAAAATGGGGTTAACAATACACTTAAATGTCACAAGGATTCATTGAGCTGAGGTAGGTAAAAAGCAACCTAGAGTGCCTGCCACTCAGTACACGGCCCATGATGAGGATTCTCTTACCTCCTTGGCCATGCAGTCCTCAGAGGTAGACTCACAGCACTTGGAGAGGATTGTGTTGATCTCTTCAGCTAGTGGCAAAACATCCTCCAGATTAGCAGTTGGCACTTTCTGGGCTAATTTTATGAGATGGCTAAACAGTTAAAAATGAATTGTTAGCTCAGCCACACTCCGTTTTCTTGCTTTCATTATGAATCTACACTCTGGAGGAATAATACCGTAGTTTCAACTCTTTGTCTTCAATAGCTGCATGGAACAAATCTGCTATGTATGTGATGGGTCCCATGTGCTAGAGCCACTATTCAAAATTCAGTCATCCCCAAGGAATCCTTTTATGTTTTAATACTGATATGCAGCTTTTCTTTTTGCCAGGTCTACCTACTCAAAGCATGCCTTTAAAATGTTAGATCCAAAAGAACAATAAAGCACTAATGTCCCTATTCATGGGGCCAATGTCATATATTGTGGCCCCTCATTGTACTTTTAAAAATGGTTTATAAATTCATTTAGAAACTACAGATTAAAAAGAAAGAAGATCTATGGCCCTAGATCACAGAATTAATAAATGCTGATATTTTGGTTTATAACCCTGAAGCATTTTATAAGGGTTATCAAGTATTAAGTATTTCATCAGGGATTATACTCTGCTATACTACTTATATATTTGCCTTTTCCACTTAATATATCAGGAATATTTTCTGTATTAAGTATTCTTTTTAAATTGTGGCAAAACACATAACCTTGTTTGTCATCTTAACTATTAAAATGTATAGTTCAGTAGTGTTAAATTTATTTACTGTAAGGGTCCTGGGATCGAGCCCCGCCTCGGGCTCCCTGCTCAGTGGGAAGCCTGCTTCTCCCTCTCCCACTCCCCCTGCTTGTGTTCCCTCTCTCGCTGTGTCTGTCAAGTAAATAAAATCTTAAAAAAAAAAAAGTAAATATCTGTAAATATAACAAATCTCTAGAATCTTTTCATCTTGCTAAACTGAAGCTGTATACCCATTAAACACTGATTGCCTCCGCCCCAGTCTTTTGACAGCTACCTTTTTACTTTTTTTTTTAAAACTACTTTAGATACTACACAGAAGTGGAATCATACAGTATTTGTCCTCCTGTGACTGCTTATTTTGCTTAGCATAATGTCCTTAGCATTCATCTCTATTGTAGCATGTGACAGGATTTTTTTTTCAAGACTGCATAATATTCCATTCTATATATATACTACATTTGCTTTATTCATCTATCAATAGACATTTGGATTTCTTCTACCTCTTAGCTATTATGAATAATGCTGCAATGAACAAGTGTGTGCAAATCGCAAAAGTGATACTGCTGAATCATAGGATTCTATTTTTAAATTTTTGAGGAACCTCCATACTGTTTTTCATAATGGCTGTACCATTTTCCATCCCCTTTAATAGTGCACGAGAATTTCAATTTCTCCACATTCTTGCCAACAGTCATTTTTTGTTTTGGTAGTGGCCATCCTAATGGGTGTGAGGTGACATCTCTTTGTGGTTTTGGTTTGCATTTCTGTTCTGATTAGTGATGGTGAACATCTTTTCATGTGCTTGTTGGCCTTTTATACATCTCTTGGGTAATTGTTTAAACAACTCAATGAAACAGAATTGAATACTTTCTTACTGAGTTATGGAAGTTCCTTACATTCTGGATATCAAATCCTTGTTAGATATACTTGCAAATATTTTCTCATTCTGTAGGTTATCTTTTTACACACAGAAATTTAAGTTTGATTAGCACCATTTGTCTATTTTTGCTTTTGTTGTCTATTCTTGGTCATTTGTAAGAAATCATCACCAAATCTAATGTTTTGAAGCTTTCCCTCTTGTTGTCTTCTAAGAGTTTTATAGTCTTAGGCCTTATGTTTAGGTTTAATCCATTTTGAATTTTAATATATGTATAAGGTAAGAGTTCGATTTCATTCTTTAGCACGTGGATATCCAATTTTCCCATCAGCATTTGTTGAAAGACTGTCCTTTCCCCATTGTGTAGTCACAGCACCTTTGTTGAAATTTATTTGGCCAAATATATAAGAGTGTATTTCTGAGCTCTCTGTTCCATTAGTCCATCTATTTTTTTTAATGCCAGTCCCATAGCATCTTGATTATTATTGCTATGCAGTATGTTTTGAAATCCTAAAGTGTGAGGCCTCCAACTTTGTTTTTCTTTTTCAAGATTGTTAGGGCTACATAGAGTCCCTTGACATTCTATATGAATTTTAGGATTTTTTTTCTATTGCTGCAAAAAATGCAATTGGGATATTGATAGTGATTGCACTAGATCTGTACCTTGCTTTGAATAGTATGAGCATTTTAATAATAATCTTCCATTCAATGAGCATGGAATGTCTTTCCATTTATTTGTATCTTCAGTTTCTTTTGCCAGTATTTTATAGTTTTCATTAAATATCTTTTTACAATAACATTATAGCAAACCATATAGCATTCTCATATGGATACACTATAACTGATAGAAGTAGTCTCCATTCTAGGGAAATTTAGGAAGACTCTAATTTTTTTATATTTAAAAAGAAATGATGCAGTAATATATTAGCTAAATCTTTGTTCACATTCAATGCTATTTCCCTGGGATAAATTCCCAGACACTAATGCAAGTATAAATTAACGATAAGATAGATATATATTTTATAGGTGGTTTTGTATTATAAATCCTTATGTTCTATTTGCCAAATACACCATCTTAATGCAAAAGGAAAAGGCGAGGGAAGGTCTAGAGAATATGCCATTAAGTATTTGAGTATTTCCACTGGAGGATTATTTTTAAAGAACTTAAAGTAGTTTCTATTACCACTAGAGAACCTTAGGATCTGATGCCAGCACAAAATAGTTTTTTTTTTTTTTTTTTATTACCATTAGAGGAGAAAAACTTGTGGATCAGAGTAAAAAGAATTAGAGACTGTAGATACTGGAAAGATAAATCTGAGCAAAGTCTAGAAGTCTGAGATGTGTTAACATAGAAACTGTCAAAATTAAAATCTAGTGTTAACAGTAGCCACACAAAAATCAGTGAAGTTTACAAATAATTAGAATACATTCACAAAGCTTAAGAGATCCACATTATATATAGCACAAAACTTCATAGAACAAATAATTCAGGAAGTCTCATCCCAAGGAAAAAAAAATAGGCAAAGGGAATAACAGGTGATGAACAAGAAAATGATTTTTTTTTGTTTTTGTGTTTGTGATACATACTAACATGAATACTGAAGAAACAATTTCTACTGGTCTACCAGTTTTCCCATATGCATGTGGAAAAGGTTGATTAAGAGCAAATCTTATGTTTTACAAAATAGCCTATTTACTCAGATTTTACATAGAGAAGAACGAGACTATTGTGAATTATAGGAACGTAAGACTATGGTGTATATATTCTAATACAAATATTTTCTTAGAGCATCCTAATATTATGGATAGTATAGAAGCAAACAGCTAAACATATTGATGATGCTTAATCTTTACCTGAGCCTTGATTTCTCCTTCCCATAAGCAGCATATTGTGAACAGACTCTATTTGACATAGTGGTGAGAAGTGATAAATGTTTCATCTGGAGTCTCTAGGAGATAAGTGAGAGAATCCTATTAGATGGTCAAGATCCATTGAAAGCAGTGTGCAGGAATGGCCAAAAAGACAAACAAACAAAACCCCCCAAAAACCTCAAAACTATTTTTTTAACTATAAAACTGAATTCTGACCAAAGGAACTTATTGATATTCCTTTCCTAGAGGTGGTTATGTTTGTTTTTCCAATGAATGAAATGTAAAGGAGGCATTTAGAAAGTTTTACTGATTATAGAATCTGAACTCCCATTAAGTTGAATGGCATTAATAGAAGAAAAAAATAGAACATAAATACATAATAAAATGATACCTACCTCTCTCAAAAAGCATACTGTTGGGCTTGGTGAGGTACAGCAGGATCCTACCATAGAGAGATAACTCTTGGTATAACTGACTAAGAGCGATAGAGGGGCTTGTCCATAGTTAATGGAATATTCATACATAAATCTGTGGGGGGGGGAAATAAGATTGGTCAAAACATTGGTGGGAAGCAGAATCTACTTTTTCATAGGCATTTGATGGACAAAGGATGCATTACATTAGTTTAGTTTTATTATATGAAAAGTATTAAGGATTTAAAGAATGGGTTACAATACTAGTCAATTTTAATCAGTATTTTCATTAATTTAAATTTCCATGTGGATTACTTAAGAGGAAGGGCTATTTGTCTCTCTTTAGTTAGTGTCTACAAGCTGCATGGCCCGTGGTAATTGCTTATTAATGTTGATTGAACAAATTAAAATGAGATACATTTAGCTTTCATGATCTATCCCAGTTTACTATTCGATAATTGCTATGTGTAGGCTTGCTTATTTGCTGAAATCTTTAATTTTTAGGAGCATAAGCCCTTAGGGGTCTATTGGATACTCTGAAATCTTGGGCAAAATCCTCTCTGAAAATTTTCAGGGATGGGAAAGCCAATGAGTTTTTATAAGATCATGACCTTAACTATAAACTTCTAAAGCCAATTTGAGTGACATTGCATTTGACTTTTGTATATGTATTTTGCCATGATCATAAACAGAATTGTATTGCTGTGCACATTTTAAATGCTTAATGTTCAGAAAAGTTTTTTTTATTCCTACATCCCTAGAAACAGTTGTGAACGTGACATGTTATACCACATAATTGAACATGTAACTTTGACCATCTCATTGTTTAACATTCATGAGTAACCAGGTTATATATTCTTATATTAGCCTTGGAAGATCACAAAAACTAACAAAAATGGGGGGGGGGGAATCTATCTGATAGAGTATGCAAGGATCCCTCGCATAAAGAGGATCCCAATAGCTGTCAAATATTTGAAAATGTCACATAGAGAGGAAATCCAAGTGATTCTGCTTTAGACAATAGAACTAAGTTTGGGAGTTTTTAGGAAGTTGACTTCATCTCTGTCTGAGAAAGGCATTTACAATAATTAGCACTGATGGAGATGAAAAGTCTTGGGTAGGAGTTAAGTTCTTATTGGAAATTATCCAGGTTTCTATAGAAGAGGTGTTTGTATAGAGGAGGGGGTTAGATTCGACACACTTCTGGTATTTTTATGCCCTGAAGTTTTACTTAGGATGAAAGCAGCTTACTGCTCAGCAAAGTCTTTGGGATCTTTCCTGAATGCCTCACAGATTTCATCATTTGTTGGCTCTGTGTAGGTAGGAAATTCTTGTGGCTGGTGCCTCAGGGCAGCCATACAGAGTTTCTGTTCAAGGCCCTCTCTGGTACAGCACTCAGCAGTTCCTGGGTGTACTGGGAATGGAGAGTCCTTTTCACAGGACCTAGCAGACAATGCTGAGGTCTAGAATGAGAGAAGAGAAACAATCAGCTCCTAAATGGAAGTCTCCAGGCTCTTAGTTCTCCATTCAATATGACCATCTTAGTCTTAAGTTTAAAAATTCTCATTAGTAACAAACCATCCATGACAAAAGCTTCACACCTATTTTCCATCAGACTCTCAGAACTTAGGAATTCTTAGGAACTCTTTTTTATCCTTATCTCTTTTTTCAGTGAATTCCTTTTCCATTTCTTTCCCTGAAAAATCTCCTGTTTTTTTCTTTTTTTTTAATTACCTCCTTTCAAAAAAGTTTGAAAAGAGTCAACACATTTTTAAAAATGCTTTGAACAAATAGGAGAAAGGTGTGTTTTTTTTTTTTTAAAAAGGGCAGTGCCATTTCTATTTTGTTATGATCTGTCTCTCTACAAACCTGGAGCTTATCTCTGGTCAAGGGATCACTTAGCAAATACATGAAATAAAATGTAAATAAAATAATGTGTTAGTGATCATGGTTGGTAGTTTATTTTAAGGTGGTGCAGAAGGTCAGGTTTTAAATGATGGATATTTGCGGAGTTGGTGGTAGGAGAAAAGGATTAAAATTCTTAGAAGTTACATAAGGGCCAGATGAAGCAATTAATGGGTAAGAATAACCATTGTGTAGGATATATTCTAATCAGATCTTTGGAGCATGGTTTCTGCAGGCTTGAGCAAGCAGATATTTGTAGAGGCCTTTATCAAGATGCATCTAAATGTCCTTTGCATGAGGCCTGATGACTGCATTAGTAAATTGCTAGAAACACCTGTGGTTTCACTTTTTTCAGCTCCTGTCTACATTTTGAACCCTGTCCCTTCAGCATTTTAACTTCTGCATATATACTTGAAGGGAGAACCTGGTATGTGGTTATAGGGCAACTTTTGAACCCCTAAATAATTTGAGGCAAACACTAAATTATTCTGGGGCAGTTGGTACCAGTCTTAACATGATAAATGTATGTGCATGAGTAGGCTTTTAAGAGACAGAATATATTACAAGAGGTTCATGAATTAATATGTGTCCCAGTTTTCTCATTTGAACCTTGTAAGACTGCTGGGCAAAACTGATTCATTATACTAGAATAAGTCTGGGCTCTGCGGGTAACAGGCTTTATATGTCTCCCAAACTTGGAGTAGGTGGAGTTGCTGTCCAAGATTTCTCCAAGATATGGCATAAAAGCCTATCCTGGCTTCTTTCTCTGGGCCACTGTGGACATGGCCAGCCATGTGAACCTACCCTGCGGTCATAGCAGTCAGGGTCGGCTCCTTCAGCACAGCAGGCTTCTGTCAAGGAGACAACTTCATTCACAAGGTGACAGATCTGTTCAAATGTGCCACTGGGAAACTTTCTGCTGTATAAGACCATTGATCTGAGGGGGGAAGAAAGCAAGTCAATATATATATAGAATTTTTAAAAATTTTCAGAAAATTTCCCATTTGTACAAATTAAAACATGAAATTTGTTCAGTCTTTAACAAGCATATTGCACACCTTGATTAGTGAAAAGAACAGGAGGTTGACTTTTAAAAACATAGTTTTTGTTCTAGGCAAACTTCTCTTGTAAAATGGAAGTTGGGTTTGGGGTTTTATCTGAGCAGCCTCCTGTTCTTCTCTCAAGCCTCCCCAGTAGGACCCGTTCTGTATCTTGTTGTCTTTGTTTGCCTCAGTCCTTCTGTATACTCTTTACATTCGAATTTACCTTAGAAAACTGTGCTTGTTCTCCTAACTCTATTAATAAACTTACTGCTAACAAATTCTTAGACCCTAGTAACAATAATTTAACTGGTCTAGTAACAAGAATTCAACCGGAATCTTTGGATGTCCTCCACTGGCCTGATGTCCATGCCCACATTGACCTTGGGTTCTATCCTTTTAAAATGTGCAGAGAGTGGTTCAGCATGCTGATTTGAAGTTCCCTCAGATGTGATTTCATTCAAGGTCCAGTAACGAAGAGCGTGAGCAAATACCTTATACTTACAAGGATGTGAAGTCCTCTTTTCCCAGACTGGCCAGTTCCTTGCAAACTTTATCCTTCTCATAATCTCGGCCTAGGAACCAGAAATAGAAGAATCTGTATCTTTTCCTTTTTAATGACTGCTACATTATATGTATGTGTCTTCTACAGGATTCATTTAAGGTGAAAGTAGCATTTTTCTCTATATACAATTTCATTTTTGCTTGCCTTTCTAGCTGTTTTCTTACAGATGAACTTTATGGCCTGCTATAAATTGTGACAGACAGAACAAATGCACTAATGCTGAAAGTAGAAAAGTCAAATGATGTCAGAACCATTGACATGGTAATCCTTCTCATGGGCCCCTTCTTTACAATAACGCTAAGATGGAACTTTTTATCCTTCCCTTCTTTGTCTCCATGTCACCAAAGGCATTGAAAGAAACAACAAAAAAATAAATGGAGAGTATGTCTACATATATACATAGTGGAGAGCTAGCCCCACCTAATGCAGGACTTTAAAGGAAGTATGTGAGCTGGTGTTGCCACCGTAACCCCATTACCCACCTCCAAATTCTATCCAGGAATGCTAGGAATTCAGCTCAGGGGGGAAAAGCGGAAATTTGACCGCTTTCTCAAAAAATAACTTGCCTGTGTGGTGGGTTTGGAGGAATGGGTGGAGAGCACTTCCTCTCATTTCCAGCATAGGGAAAGGCTTAAAGGAAAACACTCAGACCTTGATAGGGGACTCGTGGAGTTTGGGGTATGATGACCGGTGTCTGATTCAGACTAGAGAATGCTAAAGGGAGGGAGGGAGGGGCTGGCGAAGTGGCCTGGGGCAACAAAGGAGAAGGCTTTGAGTGGGAGCTGTATTGTGACCTGTGGACCTGATGAAGATCAAGCAAGAGAGCAAGCCTGCCTGGACTTGTCTTAATTTTGGGGTGGAGCTAGGCTATCTAGAGGGCGGTGGGCTGCCAACAGTGGATATCTCCATGGAAAGGTGACAACTTGAAAAGTCTGAAGGTACTGGCTGGATGTAAGAGATCCCAGAAATGATGGTAAAGAGCTCCCTAAAGAACCCATAAAGGAAAAATATCAACTTGGAATACCTCCCATAAGCAGTGGAAACACTATCTCAGAAAACTATCTGTTGAATTAATGTTCCTGCTGCTTACCTCTCCTGCTAGCTTCTCCCTTCCCTATGTTAAAACTGGAAAAGGTAAAAACCATCTAGAGAGGGGTGCCTGGGTGGCTCAGTCAGTTAAGCGTCTGCCTTTGGCTCGGGTCATGGTCCCAGCATCCTGGGATCGAGCCCCACATGCATCGGGCTCCGTGCTCAGGATGGAGCCTGTTTCTCCCTCTTCCTCTGTCTGCCTACTTGTGATCTCTCTCTGTCAAATAAATAAATAAATAAAATCTTAAAAAAAAAAAAAAAGCCTAGAGAATGGGAGGAAGGCGGAGAGAAGAAAAGTGTACAGGTCCTTTGTTGCCGCCATAGGCAACAGGACTAACACAGGCCTGATCTGGGGGGAGAGTAGCTTCAACTTCAAAAGAACTTACAAGTGCTTGACTATTCAACAAACCAGACATTCCCATGACTGTTAGGAGGTAGTCCTTTTGAGGTTCAAAAGGACCAGAGAGGACCTCTTTAAGTGAACAGAAAAATCATCGAACCTACTCTTAGGTCCATCCAAATGGTTGGGAAGAGGTAGTTCCCACAGGAGGAGAGGAGTTCTCTACTGCTGAAGACCCACCTGTTCACCATACCTACGACATAATACAATAGGGTGGATGTGGGGAAGTAGTCCATGCGGTTATTTCCTGATGCATCATTTATGCAAGTAAGTCTAGGAAACATTCCAACATTTCATGATACAGCTTTTGGGGGGAAAAATGTAAGAATATAAATGGCCCAGTTTCTAAGTGTGTTAAAGTTTAGTAAGTTTTTTTTCCTGGACTTTAAATATTGAGCAACCCATCTCAGGTGATACAATGGCAACTTCTATCATGACTTTGACCCTCCTACATGGCCTTGCCTCTCAGAGCTACAGCTTTGAAAGCAGGAACATAAGCCAGGGTTGAAAGCGGTCTCTGATGATTTGGAGAGCAGGTGGTGTCGCTTGGATACAAGCGGGGAGAAATTTTTTTTTCTTTTGTTTTTATTTTTCTTTTGAGAAGGTTCTCTTGAGGATGTGTTAGACTTAATGGCAAAAACCTGTAGAGGAAGCTGTTGCCCCTCTGTCTTTCAGGTGGACTGCTCAAAGTATATCACTGAGGTGGGAAGAGTCAGAATTGAGGGACAAAGACATTCCTAAGCAGCACTTTGTTTAAGCCCCTTATTACAAATTCCATCAAAATCCTAAAGGGTGTGAAAGAAACTACATGTTCAGATCTCATGTTATCTTGGAAATCAGGACAAGACCATAGGATTGATAAAGTTAACAGTGGAGTATAAAAAGCTACTTGCAGTGAACCTGTTAGAGCTGAGGACCTTCACATCTAGTACATCTTCTGAAATGTATTGACTAGTTTACAAGGTCGGATATTGTCACAGTTTCAAAAGATCAAATAGTACCAAAAACTTCCATTAATCATTAATGGTATTCAATGAGACCAGTGATTAGGGCATGGGGGAAAGAATTTAGGGGAGAGCTGTCCTCCTATAGTGAAGAATGTGCCATTAGGATGTCCATAGAGTTGTTTTATGTTGTTCCTAAGGTAGAGCTAGGAAAAATAGCTGGGTGTTAGATTTTAGTTCAATGTGCGAGAATTTTATTATAGCCATGACTAATAAATGAACTGCTTTTTGAAAAGGTGAATTTGTTTTGCCCTGAAAATAATCAAGTAGAATTTAACCATAATTATTAAAGATTCCTGAATTTAGTACAAGATTATATCCTCGTGATCTCTAAGATCACATCCGAAGGTTTACAAAATAATCTCTTTTAGAAATAGTAAGAAATTATATGGACCCCCCCCCAAAGTTTATGGTGTTTTAAACCACAAAAAATAGTTCTCCAATAAGAACTTTTCTCTCTTTAATGCAGAGGAGCTAACTGTTTAATAAACGTTCCCTATAGAAATAGAGGTCATTTTTGTTACTGTGATTGCAAACACTCATTAACATGAAAAGTGAGAGCCTGTATTCAAATGGTACACCTCTGATGAACATTTAAAGAAATATTTTGTTCCTAGCCTTTCAGATTCAGATTTCTCACTTCACAAAGAAGTTTCAGTATGTTATGGGAATGGGAGTACATATGAATGTAGTATAAGTAGATGCCACAGATTATCCTCTGTTCAATAGCTTTAATTAAATCAACTGGTGTTTGCACTAAAATGCATTAGAATCCACAGGTGTTAGGTACTGCTTTAGTTAGAATGCAAAATAACAGCAAAGTGGGGAAACTCGATCACCTAATGACTTAAAGTGCTTTGGGAATAATTTTTGCTGAAAATTCAGCCTTGGGCTTGACAGAAGCAAGGAAGGAAGTTCAAAAGAGAGTCATTGAGAAAGTTTAGAATTAAAATATAAGGGTAAAATAGTTCTCTTAAAGAAATAACCTGTAGAGGAAGCTGTTGTACTATGTATCTTTCAGGTAGAATACTCAAAATGTTTCTGATTAAAAAATTTTTTTCACTTATTTATCTACAGAGATCTATAGCTTCTAAGCCTAAGCAAATATGTTAATAATTTTCTCATGGTCCAAAAAGCGAATACTGAAGTTAATTTGCAATGTGATTATTACAAATTGATTCCTTATTCCATGGAGTACTGCTAAATGTTTTCATACTGGTGGAACTGCCTTTGATTCATATAATTAAATCCTATCTAGAATGAATTGTAAATGACCTAGTCTGTTCTTTAATGTTCCATGTGGTTATAAAGAAGGCAATCTGAACTTTGATATGGTCCCAGTAAATATTGGCATAATCTCAGTGACCCTGGTGAAATCATTTTCACATCAAGTGACCCCTTGGCACTAAATGTTTACAAATTTCATTAACAGTTTTGCTTTTTGCAATAGCCTGTCTCGTTTCTCTCTGTATTGTGAAATATTCTGGTAAATCGCATCTAATTCTCGACTTTTGAAAACTTGATTTATTTTCGGGAAATTTTTATTGCTTCATGTACCTCTCAACATAGCTAACAATATTCATACATGCAACAGATATGTTTTGAAGACCTGTACCAGGTATTGGGTTCAGTATTGAATATACAATGGAGAGCAAAATAGACCTATTTCTGCCCTCATGGAACTTTCAATCTAGTGGGGATAGACAATCAGCTACTACCATCTTGGTACAAACTTCGCTAAAAAGTGTATTTTGAACGCTTTAACCACAGTTAGAATATTTCTCTGAAACCATTTTGGTCTTTTATAAAAGTTGTTTGTATACCAGGAATGATTGCTGTACTCTAAATAACATTGAATTGAAAAATGCTTATACAAAATGCTAGAAACTACATTACGTTGCTATTTTCCTATTGTGTTCTGGAGAATCATGGGCTTTCAGAGCTCTGTTGGGCATTCTGTATTTCTGTAATTTCATTCCTTTGGCATTTTCATTTCTATTATACACTGATAGACTAATTTGTCAGAAAAGGCCAGGGTATTTGGGGTGTGTGTGTGTGTGTGTGTGTCTGTGTGTTTAAAAATATGGTTTGTAGTGTTTATTCTGACTAGTCAGGTTAGATGTTGATTGCAGGGTAGTGGTTTACTTGAGAAATTGAACATTGCTGGACTGATTTAGGAAGCTGCCCTAATTATTGGAGCTAAAGAAAACTACTGATTTATTACTGGAAACACTGTCAATGAAGTGGCAAATTAGTATTTTATTTCATTTTTCAGGCTTTTTTGGTTCCCCTATCTATTGACATTTTACATCATAAAGCATTGATCTGGTTTTTCATATTGATAATGATTGCAGGTAGGTGTGCAGTTTTCTGGGTTTGAGTCCATAGAAAGAAATTCAATCCTTTTAATACTAAACCTAGAACTCTACATGACATCTATATATTAAACCATCTAGAGGAAATGTACCTCTTAGGATACCATCAGAGGAACAAATCTTCATTTTAGACTTTGAACAT